TTTTTTTTCTGTAGAAATTCAGCGCTTCTCCCCTTCCTCCGTTCACCTAAGGCCATTGAAGAGTTCTTTCAAGTAGTGGAGAGAGAGAAAGAAGAGCAGCTTTTCTGATGAATTAATTAACCACAGCAGTCGTAAACTGTTTCCTGTTCATCTTCTGCACGTGCAGCTTTCGGTGGTCATAGGGGGCTAAAAGTACGGGTTAAAGGCGGTAATACCGGCGATCTCATGGATATTTAAGTTTACTTTACTAATCTGATTTCGTTTTGGAAAGCTTTCTTCTGTTTTGATGAGAGGAAAAAGCGATTTCGTGCATTTTTTCGTTGGTTGCTGTGTCACGACAGCCCAGTGGTTCGTTCTTCGCTAGGTTACAGCATTCTGCACGCCATCCTTGAATATCTTCCACTTGCTTGCTTCTTTCTGCTTTGTAATACTTCTATTTGCATTGAATATGAATTTCAATGGAACGAAGGAAAGAGAAATGCCCCTGAAACTCCGCAGAAGACGCAGCTTCTCTGCCCGCCCCCCAGCTTAACCCTCTCCCCATACCGCCTGCACCGGTGAATGGCGAGCTTGAGTTTAAGCCTTTGACTCCTGGATTCATAAAAGGAAACTCCTTTTAGGTTTTCTCTCTTTCTTCTTTGAATTTAGGTAAATTAAATTATCTTTTGCAGCCAATCACCACCCCGCAGAACAGGCAAGCGGTAGGCAGATGGTAGACCGTCGGCCGCGGTCAACAGGAGAGGCAGTAGAAGCTGCAATGAAGTGGGGGAATGATTGTTCATATGATATTGAAATAAAAGCAGAAATTGGTTTTTGATTTTCTCCTTTTCTTTATTTTTACTTTCATTCTGCTTTTTTTGACAGCAGGAAGACGCTGCAGCAGCTTGAGGCGGGGGGCTGCTGGCGGCGCCCGCCCGGCCGCTCTCCTGCTCGGCACAGCACAGCACACCGGCCTGCTGCTGCCTTGGTGATTGTTTGTGGGTTTCTCTTTGTCTTTGCAATTTGTCTTTAAAAACCTTTTCTCTTTATCTTGAAATACAGCAGGCACACTCTATGCGCTACAGAAAAGCCGCTGCAGCAACTGCCTTCTCCTACCCCCCTCACCCATCTCTTTCATACGCAGTGTAGGAGGAGGGCCTTGTACGGTTGGGGCCGGCAGGAGCTGCGTTTGTTTGTCGCTAAATGTACTTCTTTTTGTGTATTTCTTTGATATGGAATAGCAAACCGCAGTATACAGCTTCATGGAAGCGGCTCCTTCTCCTCTCTTTCTGCACAAGAGGCATCTGCTTTAAGAAGAGCAGCCAACTGCAGCCGACGGCGCTCGGCCCTCCTCTGTGGGCCTGCAGGTGTTTGTTTGCGTTGCTGTACTCTCAGCTCTCCTCTTCTTCTTCTTCTTCTTCTACATCCAGAAGTTCAGGGTTTTAAGAAGGCAGGGTATTTAGATAAACAGAAGCGTGCTCGGGAGTCTGTGCTGCTCTGTGGCGGCCGCCTCTGTGTGCAGCTGCAGGCGATTGCGGTTTTCTTCTTCTGTTTCTTCTTCTTCTGTTTCTTCCTCTTTGTCTTCTTCTTTTTCTTCTTCTGCCTCTTCTCCTTCTTCATTTTGAGGGTCCTCTGCGGCCTAAGGGGGCCCCTCTTCTCATTATTTTGTTTTTTCATAAGCTCTCTGATACCCAGCTGGAAGCAGTGTATATACACCTCAAGACCCCCCAACAAACAACACGCAAACGACAGCACGATCGCTAAGTACGAGGGTAGGTGCGGGCTGTTCCCTGCATCAGCAACAGCAGCAGCAGCAGCAGCAGCAGGTCATCATGCTGCTGATTCTGTCTATCAACATCCTCTAGGGAAACCTCTAGCAGCTTTCCTCCCCAGTTGCTCTGTCGCTGCATTTCAGGTGTACATGCACTTCATTCCAGCAGAATCAGCAAATAGTTTTATTAATTTACTTAATAATTTATTTATTTATGTATTAAAAGACATCCCCACCTCAGTACTTCCTCCTCTCCCTCCCCCGACGGTTGAGGAAGGCAAGGCAAGAGGCCTTCTACCACCCTGCCTTGCTAAGCAGCAGCAGGACCAGCAACAGCAGCAACAGCAGCAACAACAGCAGCAGCAGCAGCA